AAAGAATATAAAAAAGTAAAGGAAAAATCAAACTGAAAATACGTGATATTAAGCGAAGAGAAAAAATAAACTAAGAAAATAAAAGAGATACTAGAACACTGGAATCTAGACTAGATTTTGTTCTTCAGATTTAAAACAACTAATGATAAAAAGAAAATAAAAAAAAAAAAAAAATTAGATTAAAGCAATTATCAATTATAAAGAGTCAAAGAAAGTTATGAAAAAATGTCTAAAGGTAATATTCAGAGAGAATTTGATTTGTAACTGTATCTATGTATTAATTTATATTGATTTATATCGATTTATAACATTTAACTTTATTTTTTTTTATCAAAACAATTTTATCGTGAAACTAACTTTGTAAACAACTTGTATCATATTATATATGACATAATAACATGAACAAATTGGTGTTATATGAGTACTGCTAAAAGAATGAGTCACCAGGTTTTCAATTGTATTTTGTACCAGACATATTCCTAATAAGTTAAATAGATTGTGTCTGGTACAAAATACAATTGAAAACCTAATAACTCATTCTTTTAGCAGCACTCATATAATTGTATTAAGTATAATATTATTTAGATTTATGATAAAATTATGCAATATATACAAAAACTTAGCTATGCGATAAATCTCAGAACATCATCATTATAAGTATAATGACCAAAAGTCAACAGATAAGTATCTCTCTTTCATTTACATTATATTTTTTATTATTAGATTTTAAATTTAATTAATTTGATTAACTCTTGCAAAATCATTACAATTATATAAATACAATAGGTTTCTAAAGTTTGAAGGTAAATTTTTGAAATTTCTTTTTTTTGTAATTTTGAATAATGGAAAACTTACCTTCTACTACCTCTACTCAACATACTTATTCTTAATCAGTTTCTGATATACCACATAATACTACTGACCCTATACAACACCCTACAACTACTCAATATGATCGTTCTCAATCAGTTTCTTCTAATGTACTATATAATTTCACTGCTTCTCAAACAATGCTATATAAATTCACTAATCCTTAACCAATATCTAACAATGCTAACTCTCAAAAACAACCTAATAATACTTGTTATAATGATGATTCTGATTCATCTACAAAAAGTATTTTAAATATACAATCCATTTTTTTAAAAATGAGTGGAAGAGGCCAACAACAAACACCTCAACGCCAACTATCTCATTAACAACCACATCAACAATCTCATCAACCTTCTCAAAGACGCTCACCACCTCGTTCTCATCATTCATCATCAAATAACGATTTAAATCATTTTTTATCGCTGTAGCCTTTACCTGATCAAAAGTATAGAGAAAAATTATGTAATAGAAGATCACGTGATAGACAATCATTTAACTAAAATGCACCACGTTAGTAATTTTTTCAATATATAACCCTTTTTTTTTTTTTTCTTTGAATGCTTGAGTTTTAATTTTTTTTTATTATTAAGAATTTTTATTTTGACTTTCAACAAAAACAAAAAAAAAAAGATCGTTGACATTACTGCCAAGAATTCAAACAACTTTATGCACAGAATCACCAGTTGTACTTATTATTAAGGCAGCTCAATGAGAGTGTTCAAAGAATAGCTACCAAATTAAAAAGAAAATAAGAAGAGCAAGACAATAAGCTCTCCTCTCAAGTGATAGGTGTAAGTGGTTTTTTCTCTTAATATATTTTTTTATATTTAGCATATTTATTGTAACTATTTTTTATTTTAAAGGGAATATATAATGGCATTATAAAATATTTATTTCTATTTCATGTTTATCCAGACCAAAATGTCCTGAAAAAAGCTATGAAGAGCTATCTTGAGGATCAGTTCTCTAAGTTTTTGCATAGTCTGACTTCTAACTAATTTATAAATTGTTTTCATGGTGAATGGTGTAGTACAATACATTATTAATCGATAGTAATTTTTTTTTAATTTGTTATTGTTATCAATTGCTTATAATATTATTCTAATGTTCGTAATCTTTGTATTATATTATTACTATTTTAAATATTTTAACTGTATAAATTTGTTATTTTACTAGCTTCTCCAAAAATGAAAAATTATAGAAGTTCAGCGGTACAAAGTGTTAGGTCAACAATATGAAAAGTTTTTGAATCAGAATAGTTATCTCTCTTGAAAAGTAATGCCAAGGCTCTGGCAAGTGTAAAGTAGAAGGAAAATTCCAAAATAAGCAAATATCATCATTTATTATTTGAACAAAATGATAAGGGTGTATTCTGAATCTCTGTAATAGCAAGGTCTGTATTTTTAGAAGTTATAGTTCCTAATCTAATAAATGAATATTGTGTCTTTGTATTTATAGTATATGATATATTCTTGTATCCAAAATCTAAAAGTGTTATAT